CAACACTGCGCTCTTTCAGCTATCTAATCACTCGCCACGTATAGACCTGCGGCGAGTGATCAGATGATCGGTGGGCGTGCACCGCGCCAAGATTGAGCCATAATAGGTCGCCGAGGTCAACTCCTTCGGTGCCAATTGCGCTTCAGTTCGCACCCTCAGGAGGTCCGCGGGTCCCTCAACTAGGTGAATTACTCCTTCTTCGACCTTCATTCTAATCGTGAATTCGTCCTTTAAAACCGATCCACTAGTGAAGAGTTCTCCCCTTCCCCCCCTACACTCCGTCCAGCGCTCTCTTATGGTTACTGTACCTAATTCACTTAGGAGCGCAACAATTTTTAGTGTGGAAAAAATGCTGAAATTTTAAAAAAAGCGCTTGGTCAAAGAGTGGGACTGAGCATATGGTTGGGAGAAAGGAGGGGTTACAGCGTGTATACCTTATAGTTACACTTTACTATTAGACTCATACTACGTACAATAGTGGCCAGAATTTGATTAACAGACAGTTTTTTGAGAATTTCTTCCCGCAAAATCGCTGAATCGCCCCCAAACTTGGAACAGGTATGTCGTTCGGAATTAGAAACTTGTTCTTAGGAATAGAATCATAAAGCTTTTCCTGAAGACAGTAATAAACGTAAAAAAAACTAAAATTCCCCCTTTCGCTTCTTAGACCTTTAGTCCATGTTATATTTTTGCGTTTTTCTCCAAGATTTTTTTTACTTTACTGCTTTGTATTGTATTTAGAATATGGTTAAGACGTTCGGAGCACACACCATGTCAATTGATGTCCGCAATGCCATTCTACGAGGAATTGAACAAGGAATGAAACCTGAACTAGCAAGCACTTTTTCAAGTTTCTAAAGCAACTATTTGCACTTTTCTGAAGAGATTCTAGCAGGTGCAGTGATTGCAGCAGCGTCGAATCCAGGACGAAGCGGATGACCTCTGTCTCTCAATCGAGTGATGTTACCAACAGAAACATCACACGATTGAGTCGTGGCAATCCCAGGCTCACTTTCACCGGCATCCAAAGGGAACTGGCCGTTGCCAGTGAACAAATTCCGTCGACAAGAACTATTCGGAGACGTTTACAAGCTGCCGGGCTAAATGGAAGGCGTCCTGCGAAGAAGCCGTTGATTTCGGAGAAGAATCGTGGTGCTCGTGTCAGGTGGGCACAGGAGCATATCGGTTGGACTCGCCAGCAATGGAATAATGTTCTATTTTCTGACGAATCCAAGTTCAACCTGATGGGAAGTGACGGGATCAAGTATATCAGACGTCCACTCGGCAGAAGATTCGATCCTTTGTATCAACTGCCCACTGTGCTGGAGGGAACGTGATGATTTGGGGATGCTTCAGTGGTCATGGAATCGGACCTCTTCGCCAAATTCATGGAGATTTGGATAGATATGGATATGAAGATATCTTAGAAACAACTATGCGTCCATTTGCACTCCAGTCCATCGGCAGGGGATTACATTTTCCAGCAAGATAACGACCCCAAGCATGAAGAGCGTGTAACAGAATCGTCCGGGTGGCGTCAGAAGAACAGCGTTAGGTTCTGAAGGGGAAAAAAGAGAAAAAAGGAATAACGCGGGACGCCCTTTCTGGTTGTTGATTTCGCTCAAGGACGGGCAGCTGCTGAGACGGCGGAAGTATGGACGAAGTGAGCGCAACGCGTGTGATGGCACGATGCCAGTGTCGAGTTGCTCTAGTTGTGCCACCGCTGGTAACATAGCTCGTCCATATCGCCAACTAAACCTAGTGGGCGGATCGCTTTTGAGGCGGAGTGCTTTTGAAGTCCTGCTCAGCAACCAGCGCAACTTTCGTCGTGAAAGCGTCACACGTCGCTTGCTTGGTAATCAAGCTACCGCTTCGAGTGGCGCATGCCTTCCCCCTTCCTCTCCCTTTATTGTAATCGCTCCCTTCAGTGAGAAACTTGAGAATTGCAGGATGACCCCTTTTGGTGGTGGTCTCCTTCAAAAATGTGAAATCTATTTATTTTGGTGCATTCACGAGTATCGAAAGCCTTCATTCAATTATTCCCCTTTTACTTAGATCTGAAGATCACCTAATTCGTCAAGACATATGCGTATATTTTCAACTTGTTCCAATTTCTGGTCTCATCCTATCGGTACTTCTCTTACTCGTTGTGGCGGTTGACCGAGTGCTCTCACTCATGAGCTTTTAGTAAGTTTGGAAGGGACTTTCCCTTTAAATGCCATTCATCGTTTTTCATTATTCCACATTTCTTATTCCATATTTTACATAATTCTACACATCCCTTATTTTCCTACATATTTCGATATGATTGAGATATTTTCCTTGGTGTGATTTCTATAAGTGTGGGGAAATTCACGAAATATGAAGAAGAAATAAGAAGAAACAGCCAGGCGCTATCTTTAGTGTTATCAGTTATCATTTAGCTTCACTGGGCATCACAATTCATTAAAGGGCTCCTTGAATCCTAAATCGATGCTTCATTCACTCACCCTCCCTCTCGACCTTCTCAAAAAAATTGGTAAAATCATGTTATTTCATTTTGTTGTTTTCTTTGTTGTTCTTTTCCCTTTTGCCAGAGGTTGGTAAGCGGAAACCTCGTTTGGCCGAAACTTCGACTTTTAATTTTTTCATTTAGTAGCCACGAAATTCGTAAAGAGAAGAATGAGTTTCTGTCCTCGATGGTTGTCCTGGTGGTAACTGTACCCTTCTCTGTGCCTTTTCACCCGACCATGAGGTGCTTGCAAAATTATCAAAGCGTTCACCTGTTGTTTATACGAGCTTCTCTGACTTCGTATATGTCAAGTTCAACTTAAGGATTAGCGTATCGTGATCTAACTGGAAATTGTTTAATCAGCTATATTCTTTCCTATGTTTTTATTCGAATTTTCTGTATAACGTGCCCATTTTTAAGCAGTTCTCTGGTACAACATCACTTGAAAATCTATCTGGCTGTACAAATTCTACCATCTTGTGCATTTTGTGCTGCTATGATTATCTGGATGTACAAGGATCGAACACCGAACGAGTAGGTCTTTTGTCTTTTCGCGTAGTCCCTGTATGCTAAATTTTGCCCAGATCTTAGAAAAGGTGTAATGGGACAAACACTGACTAGCATTTATATAATATTAGGAATGTAATGTTTGCACATTAAGGTGTAGTTTGACGAACACTTGAACAGCAATTATAATAGGAATCTAATCTTAGCACATTGGCAACGGTGTGACGCGATTGGGCATCACTTTTTTCGCACAGAGGGGTGTTTTTCTCTAATTGTCGTGTTCCTTTATACAGCCACTAATCACGATAACGAGGTAAAGTGGTCATGAAAACTCGACAAAGCAAGGGATAAGTAGTAGATAACAGGTATGTAATCATTAAAGGGTTACGAACGAAAAACAAACTTATAGTTAGTTCTCGAAGTTGCCGCCGTCTGCATTGATAAAGAAGTGATGCCTTCAAGGGAATCCACTGACTATGGCATTTGAAAAGGCAACGTTGAGCTCATCCAATGCTTTCTTGAGTGACTTCTCCTACTACGAAGAATCGATAAGGCTCAGCGGAGGCCCTCCTCTTTTGAAGTTAGTGCCGAGAACTGCATGGTCCTTCCTTGAACGGATAGATTGCCAACTGGGTCTGTTTCCACGCTAGGATATTCAGCTATTTCCTACAAAGCTTTATTTGGTTCAGTGGAGCTTAAAGGAATCCTTCGCGGAAATTCTTGCATTCTTTCTTGACATGAATGTGTCAGTTGTGATCACTGGAAACAGCACACAAAGTTTCACGCATGAAGATTCGGTTTCCGAAGAGAAACAAACGTACAAAAACTACACGTTATGGACATCGAAGGTAATTCGGGCGGAGCCAAACATGGAAAGAAGTTGGCCTTTGGCCGGCTACGTATCAGGCGACGCAATGAAGAATCGGGTTAAAGCGCGCGATTTCGGAGAGTAGAGACAAATCGATCGATAGAATAGGATGGAGTAGAAGTGTAAGATGTGAATGCAATAAAGCAGAAGGCCAGAAAGAGTTTCTAGTGAAGGCACTCCAAGAACCAAGTGGAAGCATCCCCGTCGCCAGCATTTGTGAAAGACGTCCGTGGGCACTTTGAACGCGTAGCAGCCCTTTCGATTTTTCGAATTTTTAATCAAAACGAAAGCAATACTTCTGTTCTTTTCACTCTTATCGTGGATAATGAGTCTCAAGCCAGTGATTTATGGCTGAAATAGAATCATGATTTTTCCGCGAAGGATTCCTTTAAAGATAGTTCCTCATGGAAATTTATATAAACATCGGTCGTATTCGGTCGAACGAAAGGGGAGGGGGTCGTATCCAGAGAGACGGGGCTGCAAGACGGCTTGAAAAGTGCAGTGTCCGGGCAGTGCACTTTCACGCTCTAATGTTCTCCAGGAGCTCTGCACGCTGTCGGAGAGTCACACAGACAAGAGCTCCATGGGAGCATTAGAGCATGCAGAGCATTATAAGTCTCACTATCAGCCATTATTATCCTTAATACACGGACGGCGCTTTCGCTCGACAGCATAGATCAAGATTACAATAGCCAAAAACAAGTGCAAAAACATGGTCTGTCTTCGATGATCGAACATTCCTGAAATCCCAAGGAGAACAAAGTGTAGAGCAGTTCATGGGGAAGTGAAACAAGAGTGCCATATAACAGTACAATGCAACTCAATCACGATACTAACACCTTCTTCAGGAAAATGGAGGACTTTCAAATGCGAGTGCGACTTCTGCCCACAGACAGGTGCACGGCGTATACCCGAGCAGGCGTTTTCCCATAAAAACGCCTTCTCTGTCAGCGGCCGTAAGCAGACAAACTTTCCTGAAGAGAATTTCGATGCTTTCAAATAAAATCTAAGCGGAACAAAGTGTAGCGAATTTGCTGAATTGAGTTCTAGAGACCCCTTAGGAAAATTGAGGCAGAAGAAAGAATTTCAGGAAAATTTCACACTTGTTATGAAGTACTCTTCGAGTAGATTCTAACAGTCTTTACCGCTTCTCATCACATTAATTTTGAAGGAAGTTATGGGCCTTTGAAGACTGCATAGTCGCGGTCCAGGAAAATGGCTTGAAAAAAATCAAGGTGGAAAAAACGGAACAACGGGACTATTTTTTGAGCGAGTGATTATTTGGAAAAAGTTTTAGCACTTGTTTGAAAGCTCTAATCTTCTAGTTTCTAATTAGCCTTAGACATCTGCAAAAAGTTGATTATGAAGAAAGTTATGAATGTTTGAATGTCGAAAACTCGCGTGTGCACAAAAAACGGAACAACGGGACGATTTTTTGAAATATTGAACATCCGCAACATTTCAAATACTTTTTAGGAAGAAAACTATTTGATTTTTAAAATTTTGGTGTCCGGTTCCATGAGACCGCTTCTGAAAAAAATATAACCTTCTGAATGGAGGGGTTTGGATTGCAACGTAATTGCTACAAGGTTTAGTTTTTCAGATTATAAAATAAGGAAAATTGAGAGATCGAAAAAAACTTGGTAGGTTTCTGAAAGTAGAAATCTTTGTGATTATTATCATGTATTGGTTACGCAAAATTTGGAAATTCCTTCTATTTAATGAATAAAACTTCATGTTGCCTCGATTCCCTCCTCTGAGCGAGACAAAGCGCGCGGATTGACCACGGTCCACCACTTCTCCATGTTGGTGACTGCCCACACATCAATGATGAGCATTAAATTATGTGAAAGACATAATAGTTAATACGGGGGGTCGTACCGATACCCTCCGAAAAGGAAGGGGGTCGTAAAAATTTTGGAATTTGCGCAACGCAGGGTTGACCCTGCGCATCAGCCAGACGTTAGAACCTTACATGCTTACTTGGATTCATTTTGAAATGCAAAGTAGATTTTTGACTAAGCGCGATGATTGTACATTTTATTTCACAAACGGTTAACTAGCGCCTGGGCTCGGTCGCACCTCGTATCTTGCAAACTTTTCTCCTAGTAACCACAGTCGCCTGTCTCTTAGATCCAAACCGGTCGTACTAGTACTTATTATTAGCTTAATGAGATTGTAATGGGATCCATTACAATATTCATAAACCGTAATTGCTAAACACCACGAAAAATTGGCTGTGCAAAAGTCTGCTTGTTTGGATGGGGGCCAATGCTTGACAAATCCAAACATTGCGTACGACGTGACTAGATTATGGAATGACCGCTGTTCTATTGAAAAAATACTAAAAATCTACAGTGAAAACCATATGGGTATAAATTTAGAATAGAATACGGCATGCCCTTTTGCGTACACAAAGTTAGCTCATGGGCATGCCCCTGGACAAAGCGGTGTATTTGGCACATGAATTG